GAATGGATAAGGAAGCTGTGGTACATATACACCATGGAATATTACTCAGCCATTAAAAAGAATACATTTGAATCAGTTCTAATGAGATGGATGAAACTGGAGCCCATTATACAGAGTGAAGTAAGCCAGAAAGATAAACACCAATACAGTATACTAACACATATATATGGAATTTAGAAAGATGGTAATGATAACTCTATATGCAAGATAGATCCCTACCTTTTCTGTCCTTTATTGAGCCCATCTTTGCATGAAATGTTCCCTTGGTATCTCTAATTTTCTTTGAAGAGATCTCTAGTCTTTCTATTCTATTGTTTTCCTCTGTTTCTTTGCATTGATCTCTGAGGAAGGCTTTTCTTATCTCTCCTTGCTATTCTTTGGAACTCTGGATGCAAATGGGTATATCTTTCCTTTTCTCCTTTGCTTTTCACTTCTCTTCTTTTCACAGCTATTTGTAAGGCTTCCTCAGACAGCCACTATTATGCAATAGTGGGTAAGTTATTAAAGACTGCCCCCACATGACCTCAGGAGAAAACTTTTCATTATATTTCAGTAAACTTTGCTTAAACAGCAACAAAATTGGCTTGATGTAATTAGCAAGCATATCTAGTAATGTGTAAATGATGACAGTTATAAAATCTTTAATTTACAGACAGCTTTCCCAAAATATTTCTGATACTTCAGGGGAGGTACATACTTTGGTACCGAGTGACACTTACCTTGCGGTAGATCATATGGCACACGGCTACTCTCAGCCTCATCCCCACACGCTGAATGTGATAGAAGTACAAGTGGTGCAGAACGGCCCACACGAGCACGCAGGTGCTCAGCACTGTGGCGTAGGCGTAGGCTTCTTTCAAAGTGACAGAATTGGTGGAATCAGAGTTTTCAACATAACTAATCATTTTCCCCAAAAATATGGGCTGAACTACTCTGGTGCCTTCCTAAAAGGAAAAAAAAAAAAAAAGAAAAGAAAAGCCTTAATTAGAAATGCAAGCTCTACAAATTTTCTTAACACAAACTTTTACTATTAGCATGTTAAAAAGACATTTTGGCAAAATGCTACATTCAGGGCTACATTTAAATATATATATATATATATATGCAGATGCACTATTTTCTGTAAGACATGAGACAATAGTTTTAACCTTAAGAAAAATTTTACATTCAAAGGCAATAAAGCCCGGGTACATTGTGCTTAGCACATTGTGGATGCTCAATAAGTATTATAAGCAGTGCTTTAGAACCCATTTGTCAAAATAGCAAGAGTCTTGGTCTAAGATGGATAAGTGAAAAGTGGCAGAAGAAGGTAAGAAATTTGCTTCCATGTGAACAAGCCCCTGTCTCCTGTATTCGCAACATTTTAGCCCAATAGAAAGTCAAGATGGCTCATGTACTAGAGGCATGCTCTTTCCATCACCTTCTGCTTTAAGAGCCTTTATGAACTGAGACATTGGCACAAGCTCAGACCCAATATTTACCACCCCAGACTCCACATGTTGCTAAATCAAGACAAGCAGAGACCAGCTGCTGCTGGAGTATCACAAAGAAACCACCTTTGGGAGGTTCCCAGATTTTCTGCCCAAGGGGACACTGCATCAATGTATCTCTACCCCTAGAAGCTCGGATGATACTTGGAATCAAATATTAAACATGGCAGAAATTAAGCTTGAAAACAGTGTTATCCATGGTTTGCCATCAGTCATAAACCTCAGGTGCTAATTTGGAAGAAATGTTATCAATTATCTATTCCTCAAGGAAAATATTAAAATCCTAAACCAAGACTTAGCAGGTAACCACGCTTACTTCCTGAGTAAGACTCAGGGAAAGCTATTTTATTTTCTAAAACTAAAGGCAAATAAACAGCAACACTTGCCTACCCTGCCAAATGGCCACTCTACCCCACAACCTACTTCCTCCCTCTAGTCACCCCTTGAAGGACCACTTCTCCACCCTCAAAGAAAACCAAACAGTTAACACAAATTGAAGTCACCAAAAATTAACACCTCCACCCTAAACACCATTTCCTCCACATACTTCTCAGAAGAAAAACACCAAGAATTTAGAAATCTTTCAGGAACTCAACTTTGAATCAAGGTTTTCCTTTTAGGGAATCCCTCTTGACTAACACAGATCTGGAAAATGACCAATGGGTTTGCTTTCATAGCTCTCTTCTGTCTCCTTAAAGACGAGGAACCCGCATACAAGAGGAAGGAAAGGATAATTCAAAACAACAAACAAAACACAACACCAACAAGCATTTTCTGCTCAAACAAGTAGTGCTCAATCCAGTTATTTATAGAAAGTTGTCCCCATTCCTCAAATGCATGTCACATTGAACCTCAACACCCCTGCCTTCCTCTGCACACATGCATACACATGCTCGCAGACTGCACTAACTGCCTCGCCTTCTCTGAATTCATGGAAGTTTTCATCTATTGTAGAGAAGTAAGGGAATGCCGTTTAGTTGAATTATGATTAAGATGATCAGATCAGAGTAATTTAATCGGTTCTCAAGAATACAAAGACTCACTGTAACATTTCTAGCAAGCCCTATCATTTATCCCAAGAAGCATTAAGAGCTCATGGAAAAGTCCCTAATACAGTAAATTGTAAAATACACTCTTTATAGTTTACTGAGATGGAAATCTGGAGGCTTACACAGAGAAGTAAACACATCACACTGTACACACGGGCAGTCCCAGTCCAGCTGTGGTCAAGGGCAGTCCAGTCTACAGCCTATAAAACTAGGGCTCTCCACCAGAAGCCCAGCACTAACACCTGCTGCATCAAACTTTCCAGAAAACTATGAGTGTCTCTGGGAATCACTGTTACCTGTTACTCAGCTCTCCATTTAAGCCTAAACATTTTATAATTATAGGAAAAAGAAGTAAGAGTAATGTCATCCACCAAAGAGAATACTGATAGATGCAACAAATTTAGGGGGAAAAAAGTGCAAAATAAAGGCAGGTCGCTACCATCTTAAGCACCTGGAGTTTTCTGCTCAGAGACAGTATTTAACAAGTCAGCAGAGCAAATAGCCTCATTAAGGTATAATGCCAGTTCATGGCCCAGATCTTCCACTCATCTGTCCATTTTTTTCCATAATAATTATCATTCTTTATTTGAGATTTAAGTTTTCAAAAAGATAACAAAGGTTTTTGAACAAGAACCATTACAGTGATTTGAAATAATTTGGGGGTAGAGTTATTTGTTATCCTTAAGCACTGCCTTGCCTCCAGTGAGAAGTAGTTATGACAATTTAGAAAAGTGGTGAAGAGCATAAAGTACAAAGAATTGCCACTCAAGCATAAGTTCCAACTATTGAAATTGGAAAATAGATTTTATACTCCATATAAAATATAAGTAAATAGCAATTTTACAGTAATTTCTCTCAACAAAACAGAAAACTAAATAGTCAATAACACAAGGAAACAAAACCCCAAAGTGTATCAGGAGAGAATATGAATACAAGTACTAAATACGATTCTTTAAAGCTTCTAGAACACACAGAAGGAAGTGATTGGGCTATCAGATTTGGACTGAGAAAATCTATCCCCTCCACACACAAGGAAAGGTTAGAGATAAAGAATAATTTAACAGGATAGCTGGCAACAACATTTTTAACCTGTGAATGTCTCCACTTCTGGAATTTGGTAGCAACTGGCTGAGGCAAACCAGGCGAAAGGTTTTCCGCTGCCAGAAGATTAACTCCTCCATAGGCTCAATGCTCTGTTCCAAGTATTAACTCCAAATGGAAGAGTGGTGTGAATGTCAAGGGAAGGCACAATTTCTGACGACTCTGCTTGTCTTGGAGAGTCTCCCAGAATCCCAGGGGGTGGCTCACACTTGGGATTCAAACACTGGGAGCTGCCATTCCAGGGAGCTACCCTTACCATGTGTTCACTGGTGTGGGCAGACGCCACCAAGGAATTCTCTCATATATCTATTCCTGATCCTTAACTTCAAACTGGTAAGCAATAAAACAACTGAGAAAATACTCATTATCAAACATGAAACTAACCAAATTAGAACTTTCTGAATAAGTAATGTGTGTGTGTGTGTGTGTGAGTGTGTGTTAGTTGCTTAGTCATGTCTGATTCCTTGTGACCCCATGGACTGTAGCCCACCAGGCTCCTCTATCCAGGGAATTTTCCAGGCAAGAATACTGGAGTGGGTAGCCATTGCCCTCAGAACAAGGTCAAATATTGCCTCCATAAACCCTACATCTTTTATATCAATCTGTGACCCTTTCTACAAACCGCGAATATAGTTATTATTCTTTCACAAAAATTCTTCACAACTGTTAAACCATATGAGATTTTTAAAAGAGTCCAAAATAATATCACATCATCCATCATTCAAGATTCTACAAGAGTCTCAGAGTCTCTGAGGCAGACATTTCTTGATAGTCCTTGGTATTCAGCCTCCTGAAAGCACTGATATTAATCACTACCTCCTGGTCCTCAGGGAAACTTCTTACACAGTTAGATGCTAGAACTGCTGGAGTGGGTACAGTTCCTCCTCCAGGCTTGCACATATACTTGACACATTTCTTACCCAACTTCCTCATCTCTCATTCATGAGAAAAAAAAAAAAAAAAAGCAAACACAGGAAATGGAAACATGCTATCAGACAGAGGGAAAAAAAAAAAAGAAAAGCTTGAGGGAAACAAGGAAAAAAGGGTGAGCTTCTGGGAAAATGAAAAGCCAATTAAGTTTTAGAACTGGGTGAAAGGTGACAAAAGTAGAGTTGAGCAGGATCCAGGGCTAAGGAGGAAAAGCAGTGAATCTGGGGAGATAATAAACATAAAGATCCTAGATACACATTCAGTCCTCTTTTACACAGTGGTCTTCATCCTGACTGCATGCTAGCATCATCTGGGAAAGGAAGAATTCCCTACCCTTCCTATAAATACTATGGCTCGGGGTAACCAAAGAGTTTATAATGACAAAGCTTCTCTTTATGGAAATGCTGCAGCTGATAAATGAAGAGGGGAAGATTTAGAACTAGAACATCACCATTTTGGAACCCTTACTGAATTAATGGATCTTGAGTAATAATCATGAATCGCTCCTAACATCACACATACAAAATGATGTTATGTACCTCATAAAGGAGGTATACAAACCTATAACCCTATCTCCTACAAAAGGGAAACCTGAATGACTCAGATAAAGTTCTAGATCTAACCCCCAAACCTAAGGTGCCAGAGGAGCCAGTTACACAACTTGGGGGAGAGGCAATCCACCAAACTCAAACTGTGGGAGTCTCTACAGGACAAACAACCTAGTTTCTTCCTTTAGAAATATATATAAATAAATAAACTAAATAAATGGTTGAGAGGAAAGAGAGAGGGGGGGATGGATAGAGGGAGATAGAAAAGCAACCTATACAACCTCTATGAACCAAATGTAGCTTTTATGATGCTGTTTCAAACAAGGGGGGAAAAGACAACATGAGCGCTGGTTAAATACTGATGATATTAAAGTTAATGTTTATGCATCATAATGGAATTGGAATTATTTAGGGGGGAGAGTCCACATCTTTTAAAGATACATACTAAAACATTTATAGATAAAAATGATATGATGTTTAGGAACTGCTTCCAAATAATCTTCAGAAGTGAGAGCAAGTAGGAGTTGAGATGAGGTAAGACAGCTCATGAGTTGACAGTTATTGAAGCTGGCTTAGGGTGACATAGGTGCTTATTTCCCTGCACACTTAGCTGATACTCCCTGTAATAAACGACAGAAGAAAAAAAAAAAGAAAATCAAACAGAAATTTACTAACACATGTATTTCTGATACACATCAGAAATGCCAGAAAAACTGAGTAACTACCTGAGATGGCCCAAAGTGTTAGTCGCTCAATCATGTCCAACTTGTTGTGACCCCATGGACTGTAGCCCACCTGACTCCTTTGTCCATGAAATTCTCCAGGC